ACAAACCTTTTTTATAAAGGCTTTATGATGAAGCATACTTTGTGAGACGTTTATTTATGCCAAGTAAATCTTTGCGATAATTGTGAAGTAAGAGTATAGTTTGTGTTAAATTTGTTCATGTGGACTGCATTTATATATTATTCTTGTTTTATTTTGAGCACACACGCACAAACATGTCATCGTTTCCGCTTTAGTGTTGTGTGTGTGTCCACTCAGAATAAATGAAAAATAACAGATAAATGCAATCCATATATCTGTTGACTATATCGAGAGGAGAGTATGTGAAAAAATTCTAATATATTTTGAAAGAGGAGAGTATGATTTCTGTTGATTCTATCTGCGTTAAAAGGAAGTATGTTGGCATCCCGTCTAGCCTCCGCGGTTTTTCACGGTTTCCGCGAAACTGATAAAAGATAACAACATGGTGTCTTCGGCAAAGTTGTAGTACTGGAGGTTTTCTTTAACATTGCTGAAGACATCTATCTCTTATCTCTTATCAGTTGCGCGCAAATCGCGCACATAAAAAAGCAAATTTTATATAGAACTTTTTTTTTCTTATCATTTTTCGCGCTTTTCGCGGAACTGATAAGTGATAAGAGATATTTGACTTCAGCAATGTTATAGAAGACCTCGAGTGCTACAACTTTGCCGAAGACACCAAGTTGTTATCTTTTATCAGTTCCGCGGAAACCGTGGAAAACCGCGAGGACCCGCCAAAAATGAACATACTCACGTTTAACCATTTTTGAGTCGAAAGAAACTTACTCTTCTCTTTCACAACAAAGTCAGATGAACTTACTCTCCTCTCGATCTAGTCAATAGATATGTACAGTGTCCGAATTATGTATTGTCCACATTGAAATTTAGGAATAATGCTGAAAAACCAAAACGGTTGTGCCAACCAAACAATGTACATAACACAAACACAACGGTTTTATGTAGGGTTATTACAAAAGCATACTAAAACGTAACAAATTCGTACCAAAATTGATGAGTGTGATGACCTATATGTTACAAGGCGCATAATTGCCAACAACTGTCAATGCGGCCAATACATAAATCGGACACTGTACATTGTACACAGATTCAACGCGAACTAAACTCTGATTGTCTGCACATTGAACAATGTACATTAGACTGCTCCAAAAAGAAGTTGTTCCTCATCTAAATGGCCCGGGCAGTTTCGAAAAATATACCTCAAAAAAATAGGTTTGGCGCAAAGATTGCATATGGGTACCATATAAAAACCCATGGCAAGCCCTATATCAAAATTTTCATGACAGCGATTTCGGAAGCCATTTTAGATCGCAACATTTCGACCGATTCCATTATTCTAACCAAATTTCAGCAAAAACCGATGATGAGGTTCAGTTTGGCTCGTCAATATCTACAACTTACACATACATTTTATGATGTCATTTAGTAACGATTTCGATTTTTGGATGTTTTTGATCCCATTTCTGTTCATAGACATTGAATGCATACAATATTTTTATCCGATTACAAGAAGAATTTCAACCAAAATGGGTCAATTTGGCGATTTAGAATATTTTGCAATGCAAACTTGTCAAATTTATGGTTTGTAAAGTAGACAGTAGCTATTTAAGTACTGATTGATGACCGTTCCGTGAAGTTTTTGTCTGTTGGTCTCATGTACCGAAAATTTTAACCAAAGAATTAAATCCGATAGCAGACGAATAAGGTCCAAATCAGGTAATAAAATGGATTAAAATTCTAGGAACATTCTTAAATTATCTTATTATTCCATCTTTGGCAACGTGCCAGACGATATTCGAGGAATTCATTAGCATTTTGAAAATAATGAGCCTCTAGGGGATGCGCGTAATGTGTATTTGATTTCATAGTTTAGCTAAAATCGAGAGTATAAATACTCGTACAAACTGTTCCAGAAGTTACTTGAATTCGTTGCTTCTAACTGAGCAGCTCAGCGATCTTCTGTTATTATTTTGTAGTTGAAAAACAAAGTTGCGATTTTTTGCTTTCAACATATTAATCCCACGGGTAAGAAATTGTGGTCACATTTTAGTGCTATTATCGACAAGCAAATCATGGACAGTTGCCTACTTATTTTTCATATTCTATGGCGAAATTTTTCAAAATTTTTCAAGTATCATAAACCGTCCAAATTGTAACATAGTCTAAATTGTAACAATTGAACAAATAGACTAATTTTCTGCAAAACTTTGAAGGGTAACCGTTGTTTTTACTTTTCCGTACACAACGTGTCAAGGGAAAGTATAGGAATTGGTCCCGAAAACTTTTTTCGCAAAATTAGCTTAGATCATCATAAAAACTCATGAAACGCGTAGAAAACCACTTTTTGAGATACTTTTCCGTTCGTGTGCCGTCGTCGTTGTCGTTGGTGTTTGTTAACACGATAACTCAAAAAATAATTGTGATAATCAGGATCTGGAAATGCCAAAAGTTTTGTATCCGAAAAACTTAGTTTAAGTTCGAAGATGAGCCATTTTCGATTTGATCCTGGGGTACTTGCCCTAAGAAAAACTCAAAAAATAGACGATTTTGTATGGGAGGTACCCGTAAATCGACTCCGATTGGCTTCAAACTTTCTGGGAATTCATTTTTTGAGAGAAAAATAAGATTATGAAATTTTGAAACCAATCGGAATCGATTTACGGGTACCTCCCATACAAATTTTTTGGAATTTTCACTAAAATTACCGATTTTTGGACAATTTTGTATGGGAGGTACCCGTTAATCGATTTTGATTGGCTTCAAACTTTCTGAGTATTCATTTTTTGAGAGAAAAATAAGATTCTGAAAGTTTGAAACCAATCGGAATCGATTTACGGGTATCTCCCATACAAATTTTTTGAAATTTTGACTAAAATTACCGATTTTTGGACAATTTTGTATGGGAGGTACTCGTAAACCGACTCTTATTGGCTTGAAAATTTCTGAGGTTTCATTTTTTGGAGAATGAATAAATTTCTGAAAGTTTCATGTTGATCGCATTTGCAGAAGTTTGGTTTTTGGCCTCAATTTTTTCCAAGAAAATTTCGACAAAAATTGAGGACAAAAAATCAAACTTCTGCAAATGCGATCAACATGAAACTTTCAGAATCTCATTTTTTCTCCAAAAAATGAAACTTTGAAAAGTTTGAAGCCAATAGGAATCGGTTTACGGGTACCTCTCATACCAAATTGTCCAAATATCGGTAATTTTAGTCAAAATTTCAAAAATTTTGTATGCGAGCTACCCGTAAATCGATTCCGAATGGTTTCAAACTTTCAGTAGTAGTTAAGCCAATGAGAATCGGTTTACGGGTACCTCTCATACAAAATTGTCGAAGTTTTAGTTAAAGTGACTGATTTTTCACTTTATTTTTATTATTATATTTTCACTGCCTTTATTTCAAGAAAATTCACAAAAAATAACCAAAAGTACCTACGGACAACGCAGGCCAACGGTACGGAAAACTTCGGGATTACTAATGTAATTCTTTTTATTTATATCATAATTTTATAAAATAATTTATTTTTGCTCTTATTTTTACAGAATCTACATTCAATACGATGAATCTGTGGCAACCATGGCGAAACGACATCCATGCTAAATTAATGCAGGGTATTCAAAAAAATTCGAAAGCAATGGATTCTATTTCCATGGTGTCAATTCCAAACCAACATTATGTGCCGCATGCCATCGGGGAACCGATTGTGACCTGTCATACAAGAAATGTCTTACGGAACGTTAGATCGCCTAATATAAAGGACTTCGATTCGACTCAAGTCCGATTGGAGACCAAAGTTAGACGTGTGATAAGCGCAAAAGTGAAGCTAATAGAAAGCAAACCAACACAACAATGTGCTAACGCTTCATACAATGTTGACGTGAAATATTGTAATATTCATAAAATATTTGCTACAAAATCGAAGTCACCCGAACTAAAAGGCAAAGCAGAGAACACTACTATATGTGATGCGAAGCAGGCTGCCAAAGAAAGGATGAAGGAGAAGCGTTTGCAGTATAGGAAACTGCATAAGTGTAAATTGTGTAATTATCAATCGCCAGCGCGACGCAATTTAAACGCTCATATACGCATACATAACAAGTAGTATTCTATTCAGAAGTATGCTCTGTACTAGGAAATTTCTTCAAGAGCCAGAAATAGAGCAACATGAATCGATGTACATTGTACAAATGTCGACGCTATGAATGTTACATGTGCAGAAGTTTCGCAACATATCAGAAAATCCATCTAATTCAACACGTGCGAGTTCATCACAGTGGTGTTGAGTCATTTCAATGCGGAGTGTGTTAAAAATGATTTGTCTGGAAATACAATCTGACGCAACACCTTAAACGCAAATGAAAACCATGTAATGTTTTACATATTTGATTCAAGCTTTGAAGGCTTTTGAAGAATAATATTTCCACATGTGAATTTGGTACACCTAGCTATAACTTACCTTTTTTTCATTTCGATGTTTAAATATGTAGAAATTGAATATTTTCTATTTGTTCATATCTATCCCCAATAAATGACTATTTATATTGAAATTCTTTTTAAATGTTCAAACATACAAAGTGTCATATACTAACAAAGACGACAACCGCAAACTTTGAGTTTTTTTAATGTACTTATACATTGTATATTGATAATGAGACTTATTTGAGTTCTTTGCTTATCGAACATGACTTGACTCCTTCCATAGCTGTTGATGAATGGGAACGTTTACTGCGAGTTCACGTTTTGATGACTCAATTTTTCGCTATCGCAAAAACATGCAAAACATTCAATTTCATTTATATTTAAAATAGAAGATGCAATGATTCACTCAAGTTGAGATATGACAATACAATCATTACTTATCGCGCAACTTATTTTTTTTAGTTTTTCCCCTTTACAAATCATGAGTAATCGGAAATGCTTATCAAACGTATGGTTGGACTTTTTCGAACTGTGTAAGAATTATCATAAATACCGCTCCATGCCTCCAGTTCTAAAGGCATCAGTGGTAAATAGTCAGTCATGAAGTTCGTTTGTACTTTCGTGATTTTTGTTAGCATTTTTTGCTTAAATGTTTCAGCCGAAGAGCAGAATATAGGGCAGGCCATTCAAATCATGGCTCCTGTTAACCACACCTTCCAGTTGCAAGTCAATGAGCTCAAGCAAATTCTAGAGGTTGCCAACATCAAAGATCGATACGTCGTGGTTGTTTCGATTGCCGGTGCCTTTCGACAAGGCAAGAGTTTTTTAATGAATTTTTTCATTAAATATCTCGATGCGCAGGTAATAATCTAAATAATAATAACAATGTGGATGTTTATCGAAGAAGTGCACCTTTTGTAAATATATTCACAAAACATAATGCATTTCTTCAAACATTGCTTCGAGTCTCACATTTGTGGTAATAACAAAACGTTTTCAATTACATTTCGGACAGTACAAAAAACACAATGCGTCTGATTGGCTCGGCGAAACAACAAATAACAGCCGACTGAATGGATTCAAATGGAGAGGCGGTCGAAAGCCTGAAACAATCGGAATTTGGATGTGGTCGGATATTTTTACCCACGACTTCCCGAATGGTGATAAAATTGCAATCATTTTACTCGACACTCAAGGCATTTTTGATTACCGCAGCAGTGTACATGATTGTACCGCGATATTCGCACTCAGCATGATGTTGTCATCCGTTCAGTGTTACAATTTGATGCATAATATTCGCGAAGATGACCTACAACACTTGCAGCTATTTACTGAATATGAAAGGCTCGCTATCGAACAGATGAATGAAAAACCGTTCCAGAAACTGCTCTTCATCGTACGAGACTGGTCATACGAATCTGAAATACCGTATGGCAATGGGCATAGACTAATTGATGAAGTTCTTGCTGAAAACAGTGATCAGACGATAGAAATGCAAGAGTTACGACAAAAAATCGCAATGAGTTTTCACGAAATCGGTGGATTTTTACTGCCCACTCCAGGGAATATAGTGGTATATTCGGATTCGGTAAACTTTACGGGTGATGTGCAACAAGTCTCACCACAATTTAAAAAATTCGTGAAAGAATTGACGCTAGCACTTTTCGCACCAGAAAATCTTATCATCAAACAAATTAATGGCGAAAAAATTCGGGCACGAGATGTGTCGCAATATCTGCAGGCTTACACAAATATCTTCAACGGAAATGCATTGCCCAAACCAAAATCCATTTTGATGGTGAGCCTTTCCTTGAATATTTTTGAAGCAAAAGTTGAAGAATAAAGCTTTATTTGTTCAAATAGGCAACCGCTGAGACTAGCAATAGTATTTTTTGTGATGATTGTTTGCGTCACTATAGCGATAAAATGGAGCAAACACTTGAAGCAGTCGATTCATATATGACAGAAAATGAACTCATTGAGCTTCATGAGAAAACAAAGAACGAAACATTGGCTCAAGTTTGTATTTGGAAAATATTCGTGAATATTTTACAATATTTCAATAAAACTTCATATAGTTTTTAGAAAAACCAACGCTTGGTGGCAACAAATTCCGAAACACTTTCCAAGATAAAATCAAAAACGGCACCGAGCAACGATTTCTTTTAATCAAAGGCCATAATGAGAGAAAACTCAAGGATTTCATTGTGAGTATTCAGTTGGGTACATTCTTTTTCGAGAAGCTCGTTCTTTTTTGATTTTTTATTTATTTATTGACATCAACATTATATCGTTGGATTCAAAGTTCAGGAAAATGAAAACGAATTAATTATCAAATTTCTTTTAGGAAAGAGCAAATTTACATAATGATAGAATAGGTTCTGAATTGCTTGCATCGGTTCAAAAAAGGATTCTGGATGAGATCGAGAGTTCCAGTCCTGAGCTTAGTTATTCAAAATTGTATGATGTGTTACAGTCAGCAGTGCAAGATGCTTTATCGGATGTATGTTGCACGTTTTATTTCTAAAAGTGAATTAAATGTGTTTCAAGCTAAATTCGAAATCCATATTATTCAATCGAAGAACTAAACATAATATTCGACTTGCAGTTCGTCACCAGAAAAATGGGTGATGATGATTTTTCAAGGGGTCGCCGTGAGCATCTCAGAATAGACTTGGACCATCTGAAGGATACCTTGACTAAAACACTAGAATCATACACTGAAACAGTGCAATCATATAGCGATTTAATGCAGAAGGCACTCATCGAAAATCCTTACTTTGATCATAGCGATTTCTTGAAACTTCACCAAAACTCTAAAACCACAGCCATTGAACCGGTTTGAAGATTGAATATTTTCGAATAAAAACAAATGATCATATTTCATTATTCTCTACTGAGGACGTAGAGCTATTTAAAATGGATCCAAATTTAATTGAATTTGAAAAAGTAGTGAAAAAGCAAGAAAGAAGCAATTTTAAAAAACTTATTGATTATCTAGTTCCAATCACAACACAATGGAGACAATAAGCTTAGTTCTGTGGTCCAACGAAAAATCGAAGCAAATATTGAGCAAAAAATGCCACCATTAGAGGCAGGAAATGAAGCAAAGCGTCAAGATTTCCTAGTGAGTGTGCAGTGAAATTATAGAGTTCATGCAGGAATTCATTCAAACGTCATTTAATCAGTTTCTGTGCTTACAAATGTGACTAACGAAATAATTTACAACTCAATTGTAGAAAAGGGCCAATTTACATAGTGAAACGGTGAGTCGAGAGTTGAAAGCGTCGTCCGAGAACAGAGTACGAGCTGGAATTGGTGGGTCATTCTTGAGCGACCATGACTTCGTCAACTTGTTTTTAAACATGAAATCAACGATTCTGCAAGAGGTTCAGTTGAATCAGTTTTTCTCATTTTTTAAATTAATTTTTGGTATTTGTGTTAAGTTTGCTTCTAGGAAGATGGGCGATGATGAGCTGTCCACACAAGCTCATCAATTCTACCGCAAAGAACTCGAGGGAAGCATAGATAACTTGCGAATTGTTTTGAAACAAGCGAATGAGGCGCATAGACCACCAAGAGAGCCGAGCAATTGGGTTCAATTCCGTGATTCAATTCGTCGAGGACTAGGAATCATTCACTAATATGTGTAAAATGTAGAAAATTATGTACACAATGAAGACCATGCAAAAATATTTGTATTTGAATTACAAAGATATCAATTCATTATAAATAATTATAATTTTATTTCGAAAATAGTGTACAATGCCTCGCCCAAATCAGTCGTCGCAAATCTTATGACGTACGCTCCGCTCACAGTTACATTGGCCAGATTCGCTACGAAGACATCCAAGGTTGTGTGGACGGCTCGTCAGGTTTTAAATAGAGGTCTGTGTAAGCTTGCAAATATAATGATATATCTTGTGCTCGCACTTTCTGTCCGTCAATTTGTGCTTTTGAGCGGCGCGAGATAGCGGTAGCGCCTAATTAGACAGCGTGGTTGATTGTCAGAACTACATGACATTCTGTCAACGTTCAGTCAATTTACATTTGACATATTTGGTTGCATTCAGTTGAACGAACGTATGCACATACGAAACTGTACGAAACATCAAAAGAAAGGAAGAAAATTCTCATAAAAAAAACAGTGATCAAAATTTCAATACAAAAATGAAAATCATAAGAAAACAAAGTGATCGCAGAGGTAAGAATCATAATTAATATAATGAAAATAAAAAATTAGCTTAACCGGCTGCACTATGTACCGATAGCCGGTACACGAAACACGTTTCACGTCGAAAAAAATATATGTGAATAAATTTCAAGTACAGCCAGTGCAGTAATTTTATTTTGTTTTAATTAATGTTTGTTGAGTATAATGAGTTTACCCAAATTCTACACTTTTGGTTCAGAAACTCTTGGTTCAGCGAGTGAAGCATTACTACATGAATGACAAGCAATTTTATAGGATTGAGGTTATTTGAGGTTATGCTTCACCGGCTGAACCAAAAGTTTTTGAACTAAATGTATTTTTCGGCTCAACTTATTACACTCAACAACAATAAAACAAACAAAGAATTGTTTACACTAGCTGCAATTATTTATTTATCAATCTGAAATTGAATTGAACTTTTCTAACAGTGACTCGCTCAATGGGACGTTCTCGAGGCGAAATGGATGAAGACGAATTTCGCAGACGAATAAATTGTTTCGTTGAACTTGAACGCAATGATGATCTCGAACGAAAGGTACGCCTACTGAGAGCGGCAAAAATTTTGGCCCGTCGGGTCTCTTTGTCGGAACAACCGAAGAAGCCGGCATAGGTTGGACGCCGTCGAAAAACCACAGTCGAACGACAACGGCCGAGCATTGATTCCTTTATCCGACAACACGAAATCAATGAGTCCGATTCGATTCATCAACAATCCCATCGTCGCCCATTGAGCATTTTTTCACGTGGACGACGACCAAGCGAAAATAAACGACCACGTTTGGATAACGAGTGTTTGTCAGTATTTTTTACCACAATTTATATTAGTATTTAAAAACATTGCCTTTTCAATGTGAATCAGTGAAAATTCTGTGATTTTGCTTAAAAAAAGCAATCCAATCCACTCTAACCGATTGATAAGTAATAGTGACTGTTTAGCTTGAAAAAGTGCTCTTATTTCTTATAAGCGATATCAATCAGAAATTCTAAGTGAACAATGTTTACCTTCAAAGTAACTTCTCATTCTCTGAAGAATGTGTGTATTTCAGTTTATTTCAAACGGTTAAGCAAGTTGAGCAATGAAGCTCCAAGAATGTGACGAACAAAGCGAAATTAAATCTTATTTTTTTCAGAATAAAAAAAGTCATTTTTCATTTAATAATAAAATAATTAATTAATCTATATTTTTGACATGTTTTTTTGTTATAGAATTTTGGATTTTACAAGTTTTCATGTAAAAAAGGTAATGGTTTCAAGTAACTTTTCATTTTCTGAAGAATGTGTTTAGTTAAACATGTGAAGCGATAAGGCGGTTGGACATTTGTCTTCATACTTGCAACGAAGATTCATGAGAATTTTGAAAAACCCTATTCGCAATATTTTCAGTTGGAAAATAGTTTTAGCTGAATTTCAAAACCGATTTCCAGGTGTTCACTGGAGAGAACGGTAGAATCGAGTAAAATAAAATAATATGATTGACAATTCTAAAATAATAATATGATTTGAATACAAATCAAAGTAAAATATAGCCAAATGTTGCGAAATAAAATGCACTTACTTTTGTAAAACGTTGAACGTGGTTGAGGTTAAGTAATTAAACTAATGTGATGAAATTGATTGAAAAACTATAAATATTTGAAGGAATACGAAAGAAAATAATAAGTATGTTCGAAAAAAGAACTAAAAAACACCAGAAAATAAATAAAAAAGTGAAATAAAATGTAAAAAAAACTTTGATGAGAGCAAATTTCAAATTACCGAACCGTTCGGTGTGAGAGCTGCCGCAAGAAAGAAAGACTTTATGCTTGACAGCTTGAATGTAGTTTGATGATATCGACGTGGTGCGCCACCATCGCATTTACGAATACGTATCCGTATACATTTATACAGATGCTGTTGCCCACCGGAAAAATATGATGATGTGCCCGTTATTCTGAGCACTGCGGCAAAAAGTCAAGAAAATATCGTGGCTACAAAGCCAAAGCCAAAGCCAAAACGAAAACAAACAACTGGTGAAAGAAGAGTCGTGTTGACGCGATCAAAAGCAAAAAAATCATCACAATCGCAAAGTCAAATGCAAACTATGCCTGTTGTTGCACCTGTTTCGAGAAAACGCAAAGCCGAGTCATCAAATGACGACATGAGGCCTTCCAAACGAATGAGTCAGTCATGTAATTCTTCGAACAGTGACTTGGAAGATGTAACAACAATAACGGCAACCTCGACAGAAATCGGGCGATTACACCACCGCTTCCAAGACCTTCTTGAAGGCAAAACAGACTTCTTGCCCACCCAAAATTGCGTCATGAATTGTGAACGTGCAAGAGCCACTGTGATCTTGCCTTGCAGACACCAGGCCACATGCAATCAATGTTTCGTGATGTGGAAGGTGTTCTTGGCAAAAAATAAGAAGGATGTTTTTTGCCCGATTTGTCGAAGAGTTGTTTCTGACAATATTATCATAAATGGTAGCTAATGATTCAGCCTCTTCCAGCGCAATTTTGCAAAATAGAATTAAGAAAAAAATAGCAGTTCGAAATGAACACTAAGTTAAAAATTTGTTGTATTTACTGTATTTTATTTTTCTGAAAAAACATTGGCGGAATAAATTCTTGCAAGAGTGAAAATGGTTGTGAACGGGATTAATTTCTGAAATGATACCGGCGGAAAAAATACAAAGCGGAATTTATTTCTGAAATGATACCGGCGGAGAAAATACCCACGGAATATTTTTTTGATAATAAACAGCGAAAAAAATGTGGAATTTATTCTTGCGGACTTATTACCTGCGGAATAAATTTCATAAAAAAACGGAATAAATTTCAGCGGATTTTTTTCCTTGGTGCGTGCGGAGAAATTTCCCACGGAAATTTTGATGTGCGCCGTTCCTGTAGCATAGTCACTTACATTGTAACATAGCTGTCACAGTCACTAATACATGCGCACTCTCATCAGGGACTTTTTTACATAGGAGCAAACGTGTGCATTGCACACGGGCGCGAGGGCGCCGAAGGCGCACGAGCTATGCATTTTTTTTTAAATGAAAAGGCGCGAGAGCGCCGAAGGCGCACGAGCGATGCAATTTTTTATAAATGAAAAGGCGCGAGAGCGCCGAAGGCGCACGAGCGATGCAATTTTTTTTTGGAAAAAAGCGCGAGATTACGACGTTTTGTTGTCATCGCTGGTATCGACATAAGCGATTGAAATTAACTAAACATCGAAAAATTGTTTTTTTTGTTCAACACTCAAAATGGCAACGTGTTTTCACAACAGCTGATTAAAGCGAATATAAACATTGAAACTCAGTTCGATATCGTTCTGAAGAAGTATGAATCACGCCACACGAACAAAAAACTTGCTTGTATACAAGTAGACTGAAAGTGCTGCAAATATTAAAAAAATGATGACAAATCTTTTTTTCTGTGTTCGATATCGGTATAAGCGCATTGCGATTTCGTCGCATTATACAGAACACGAATCATTCGTTCGACAAGTGTCTAATTGAGCACTGATTTCATTCTATTGTGTCTATATCAAATATATTTCGTGCGAATAAATAAAAATTTGAGTGAAATTTCAACCGAATAAAATACCATGAATAAAAAACCATCAGGGTATGACTTCAAGAAAAGGCGCGAAGAGAAAGAAGCTAAAGAGGCTGATTGCGTAAAAAAAACGCGGAAGCTCGATTGTTATTTTCGGAGCCAAGGTTTGTGTTTCAGTGATTTTGAAATTGTGCCATTGTTAATTCATTTCGTTTTGAAGATGCTAGCACCTTTGAGAAAATACCATCAGCAACTGATAGCAATGCGTCCGATACAAAAGATCTATCAGAAGAGATGGAAAGTGGTTTATCAGAGGAAAATGAAGCAACAGAAAAGATGGAAGTCGAAGAAATATCGCCATCTTTAGGTGCATCGGTATTGATTGCAGGTCATTATTATACTTGCGAAACAATTTTTGCCTTTCCAAAGTACAATTGGCAACTGACTTATCCAATTGTTATGTTTTTTCGATTAGATTTGGAAATTGATATATCTGACGTGGCCAATTTTCCATCAACATTGTCAGAGAATCTGAGAACGCGTATTATTCAAACAGGCCCAAATCAAATTGATATGAAATTCCCGATTACGAATGGGCGTACATTTTCCTCAAATTATTATTCTAAAACGCTCACGAATAACGAAAGAGTTAAACGGGAATGGTTGATTTATTCAAGGCAGCTTGATTCAGTTCATTGTTTTTGCTGTTTACTTTTCAATTCAAATGCACAACTCAATCCGTTCAACGCAAGTCAAGGCTTTTCAGATTGGAGACATTTGTCGCAAGCAATTCAACGTCATGAAACTTCAGCAAGTCATTTGGATAATTTCTGTATTTGGAAGGAGCAATTCAACAGATTATCGAATAACACTACGATTGAATGTCAATTGGAAAAGAGTTTGTTGGATAGAAAGAAGCAATTGAAGCAGGTGTTTGAACGATTTGTTGCAATGACAATGTTTTTGGCACGACAAAATATTGCATTTGCCGGAACGGACAATACGAGTGGCAACTTTTATGAACTGGCTCAAACTATTGGTGAATTTGATTTGGTGATGAAAAATCATTTAGAAAGTAGCTCTCGAAATAAATATCTAGGCCCCGCAACACAGAATGAACTCATCACTATCGTTGGAAATAAAGTGCGACAACACATAATCGACCAAATCATTGAAAGCAAGTATTATTCGTTGATTTTGGATTGCACATCAGACGTGAGTCGTCAGGAGCAGATGACGTTTGTTATTCGATATGTACACTTTGATGTCGACAAGCGATTTTTTCAAATCAAAGAGAGTTTTATCGAGTTTGTTGATGTCAGCGAAACGACTGGAAAGGCGATGGCCGATATCGCTGTTAACAATCTAAATAAACACAAAATCGAAATCAAAAATATGCGAGGTCAGGGATACGACAACGGATCGAATATGAAAGGCAAGCACATCGGTGTACAAGCGCAAATTCAAAGTATAAATCCGTTGGCTGTATTTATCCCATGCTCAAATCATACATTGAACTTGTCATTGAATGACGCTGCATCAGCTTCTATTGAAGTTTGTGCTTTCTTTGCTACGGTACAGAAGATTTACACTTTTCTTTCAGCATCAACTACTCGTTGGGATATTTTGAAGAAGCATTGCACATCTATTCATGATTTGGTGCCAAAAGCATTAAGTACAACACGTTGGTCGGCGCGATTAAATGCAATTAAGCCGCTTCGTAGAAATCTCAATAAAATCCTTACAACACTCGATGAAATCAGCAATTCTGAGTCATTTGAACCATCTGTACGGTACGAGGCGGAATGCATAATAAACTTCATTGATTTTAAATTCATTTGTTCGGTCTGTATATGGCACGCAATATTGGAAAATTTTGACCGCGTATCAAAACTGATGCAACGTATTGACATGAATTTAAGCGGCGTTGAAACTCTCTTATCTGATATTAGTCAGTTTTTAGCTGAATACAAAGAAAACGGATATGAACGTGCTATTACAGAAGCCACCGAAATTGCCGATGAATTGGAAATTCCGGCGAATTTCGAACAAACCCGAAGAGGAAGACCTCGCCGAAACGAGACAGATCCGGAAAAATTGTTCAAAGAAAACTTTTTTGATTTTGTTGTCGACGTTGCATCCGAATCGATTGAGGATCGATTCAAAGTGATTAATTCACACAGCAAATTGTACGCGTTTCTTTATGAGTATAAGGAGTTCAACGCACTCTATTCAAGTGGCGAATTGATTACGCATTGCAAACTTTTGAAAGAAACTCTGACTCACAACAACGAATCCGATATCGATGCCGAGGAATTATGTAACGAACTGCGCATAGTTGGCAAAATAATGGAAAGCCACCAAATTGAACATACCATCGACATTTTGAATGAAATCGCAAAAAAGAGATTAGAAAACTCACTACCAAATGCGGTCATTGCCTACAAGATCCTCCTGACGCTTCCTGTAAGCGTTGCAACAGGAGAACGCACCTTTTCGAAATTGAAGTTGACCAAAACGTACTTACGAAGCACAATGCTGCAGGAACGACTCAGCAATTTAGCGATAATTTCTATTGAACAGGATGTAGCAAAAACATTGAATTACGATCAAATTATTGATGAATTTGCCCACCTCAAAGCTAGAAAATGCAATTTCGATTAAGAATTTGATTTAGTTTGACATTAAAACTGCGTAGACAGTAAGAAGGTTTAATAAATTATTCAGTTTTCACGCTGCTAAGCTAAACACACCGTATTTCATTTCACTCTTCCTTTCAGATCTTGTTTCTTTTCGACCAACATTTGCTTGTTCTTTGTAATGTATGTAAACAAGGAATATAGAATTTTCTGTTAAAATTCAAAAGGCGCGTAAAAAATTTTGCACACGGGCGCGAGCGCACCAAAAAAAGCCACTGGGTAATTAATAATTATAATTAATGCAACTTCGATATCAAATATTTTATTTTATTCAGAATTAGCTCAAAGACGAAATGATAGGTAAAAGAATTTGAATTGAAAAAAAAAAATTGGGCGAATAATTAGTAGCTTCATTTTTATCGACCACGAATCGCTCTACAGTGAGAAAACTTAAAGATTCATTAACGTTATTTTTTGTGCAGATGCTTTTGTTTTTGAAAATATTTTCGCTTTGCTTTGCTTTCGATAACATAGATAATATGAAGTGAAAAGAAAGACGACATGGTCCGTAATGTGTGCTTGAGCAAAATTAATTACCCTTTTCAGAAATCACATACATTAATGTATCTATTATAAATTCTTTTTTTGGTGAAATAGATTTCGGACTTTTCGTATCTCTATCGTCATAAACCTCCCACTGGTTATTAATTTTGTTCGCGCACACAGTATGGGATATGTCAGAAACAATCCCGTCTAATACATAAAAAAACTATTTCGCCAAAAGTATTTTGGACGATAAGTGTGCAGTTGATTGAAGTGTGGCTGATTTTGCTTGTCGCTTCAAAAAATGTGTTTGTTTATTTCTCACAGACGAAATGTTTTTTTTTTCAAATGTACATCATATAATCGAAAGAGCTGTCGATATTTTTAACGGTGTAAATGCTTCGATATGAAAATAAAGCAAATTATGATTCTTTTAGCGATTGCTGTTGAATTACAAACGAGAACATTTTAATTCAACGAAAAAAACTTGAATTCGGCTTGACACATATTGAACAAAAGAAAATAGAGAAATAATATTTTAAAAAATCTTACCTAGTCTATGTACCACCGATCCTGTAGCGTCGCAGGTTATTTTCGTGTACTTGGTTCGTTTAAAGTATTCGCGATACAATAAAAACTGATTTTCACTTGCATACATGATGTGAAAAAAGGGGGAACCTCCAATCGAACGAATCATAGAGCGATAAGCATGCGAAAGTGCTAAATCTTTCAGAGCCTTTTCTGGATCCGGTGATAGCTTATCCATTTGGCGCCTTCTACTTTGGCCTGCTCTTATTGCGTTTTCAGTGATTGTACGACCTCTTTCCGGCTCGAACATTTGTGAATTGCTTTTTTTGACCAATTCCCGTTTCAAAACAGAGGCTTTCTTGTCGGATGAAAACAATTCATTGGCTCTCGCACCACCTATTCTTACATTTTTTCGGAAGTTTGATGAGTGTTTTTCTGATACAAAATCGCGCACAATAAATTTAAATTTCACAATTTTTTCAGATTCGACAGGCTTTTTAGTAACTTCACCTAACAAACGAGCTTCACATGTCGTACATTTTGCCGATATGTTGATGTATTTTTCCCCTTCGGGATGGACTTTCGCGCGCTTGAAAGACCAAGTGCAAGGATTTTTCATTCGATGGTTTGCAATCTGATCTGCTAAAACCGTTGTCCACAAGCCAGGTGTAAGCTCGTGGTAAATCCTTTTTTTGTCACCTTCCCGTCGATGTTCTTTTGGAACGGGTTCGATCGTTTTCCATGCATCAAAGGACAACGATATTGTAAAGTTTATCAAAATGGAAAAGTCACCATCGGGTTTTCTTTTTGGTTTCTCTGATTTTACTTGCCACCATCTCAAGGCATCGGTGTTAATGGCCTTCGGTGTCTTTTTATGTTCAATTTGTTCAGCAATTTCGATCCAAATATCTGCACTTGGCACAGTCACTTTATTACGATTATCTATGATTTTATCTACGTTCTCTTCGAATTTAGTTTGTAACAATTCCAATAAACTATGCAATGGTCTCCCACTCATTTTCGAAGGCAAAGTTGTCACAAAATCACCAAATCAATTTTATTCAATTCAATTATATTATACTTGATGTGTTATCCGTTCAAATAATGCTCTTCAACTGAATTCGGTAGCGAATCAATTGTTTCAATTTACACATTTCTTCATTACGATTATTCGCTAATTCATCATAACATCTACATGCATAATTTTCAAAATGAAATTGTAGTGTTGGACCAACGTTTTTCAGATAAACAGACGACATCCAGTTGTTTATGTCTATAGATCGGTGAAATTGACTGAATCATCAATGCCTGTTTATCAGACACGATCAAAATGAAAGGCATTGCAATTGCTGTAAATCACAATTTCAGTACGTTATTCATACTTCTTGATTTATCCTTTTGTATATGACTCATAATTTGTGAGTAAATGTAATAGAAAAGGAAAATAAATGTCTCCCCATTCTCTCACTGTAGAGCGATTCGTTGTCGATAAAAATGAAGCTACTAATTATTCGCCCAATATTTTTTTTTCAATTCAAATTCTTTTACCTATCATTTCGTCTTTGAGCTAATTCTGAATAAAATAAAATATTTGATATCGAAGTTGCATTAATTATAATTATACCTATAGTTTTATTAATAAAATTTTGTATTTGCATTTAGAGGTGTCAACGGACAAAATTTTGTCCGTCCGTCCGTCCGAACATTTTTTCAAAAAATTCGGACGTCCGGTCCGAATGTCCGAAAACCAAAAATTTTTTTCGGTCGTCCGGTCCGAATGTCCGAATTTTTTTTCGGACGGACGGACGGACAAGGGGTTTGTCCGAACTTTTCAAATTTTTTCGGACGTCCGTAAAATTTCTGGACGTCCGAAAATTTTACGGACGTCCGAAAAAACTTCGGACGTCCGAAAAAAATTCAAAGCCAAAAAAAATATTCGAGCCAAAAAATAATTCAAAAGAAAATTTTCTCGGCTCCAATGATTTCTTTCTAATCCCACAATTGATCCGTTGCGACAAACAAATTCCCTCAGAATATTTTAGTTTCAAAGTGCAACAACCAACGTAAAAACGTTTACCAAAAAGTGTAAACCAACTAATATACAAACTAATATATTTTCTTTTGAATTTTTTTTGGCTTTGAATTTTTTTCGGACGTCCGAAAAAACTTCGGACGTCCGGAAATTCTACGGACGTCCGAAAAAACTTCGGACGTCCGAAAAAATTTGAAAAGTTTGGACAAAACCCCTTGTCCGTCCGTCCGTCCGAAAAAAAATTCGGACATTCGGACCGGACGTCCGAAATTTTTTTTTGGTTTTCGGACATTCGGACCGGACGTCCGAAAAAAATTTTCGGTTTTCGGACATTCGGACCGGACGTCCGAATTTTTTTTTCGGTTTTCGGACGGACGGACACTATTGTCCGAATTTTTGTCCGTGTCCGTTGACACCTCTATTTGCATTTAATTTTTTTTCTCAAACCGATATCTATTTTGTGCTCGGCCCCAGTTGGAGATTTTTGTGATCTGAAAAGTGAGAAATTTAGCACAAAATTAGCACAAAATTATGCGCCTAGTGCCGATACAAAAAAGTCCGATTTTAAGGTACCTGCCCTACAAAAGTGACAAATTCGATTTTTTGACAAATTGATATCTATTTTGTGCTCGGCCCCAGTTGGAGATTTTTGCGATCTGAAAAGTTATAAGTTCAGCACAAAATTAGCACAAAATTATGCGTCTAGTGCCGATACAAAAAAGTCCGATTTTAGGGTACCTGCCCTACAAAAGTGACAAATTCGATTTTTTTGACAAATTGATATCTATTTTGTGCTCGGCCCCAGTTGGAGATTTTTGCGATCTGAAAGTTATAAGTTCAGCACAAAATTAGCACAAAATTATGCGCCTAGTGCCGATACAAAAAAGTCCGATTTTAGGGTACCTGCCCTACAAAAATGCAAAAAAATGAGAAAAAAACCTATCAACGCCAGCACAAAATCGAGGAGACGAGCACAAAAAAAACCAATTGTACCATTGTTCAGCACAAAATGAGCACAAAAATATGGAATAGGTCGCACCCCAGCACAAAATGTTGGGGGGGGCAGCGTAATGCACCTGAATTTCCTCAATTGGGTTCCCTTTAACGATAAATGGGTTAAATTGGTGAATCGTTCAAGTAGATCGGTATCAAATATTTCCTCAAAATTCCCCGTTAGCTCCAAGACTTGCAGCGATGATGTC